GAAGTGGGCGTTGTTCCACCAAAGCTTATGCTCTAATAAATTTGTTAGTCTCTAAGGTGCCACAAGTACTCCTGTTCTTATCACCTCACCTATCCTTAGGGTCTGAGAAGAGAATGAACAATCCTGCCACCTGGAGGCCAAAGGCGGCAGCGCTCCTTGTGACAGAAGTGATGCAGCAACACGTCCCTTTGAGATCATTTAGTCGTGTGTTTCAGGGTGTTCCTTCAAACTGAGCCACCACACTGCTCTTTAATTGCATTATCCCAGAATGCCAGGGGAGAACTCACGCACAGGTCCTTATTATTATTAATCATGTTTATGCCTAAGGACCAACCGAGCACAGGACCCCGCTGTGTTAGGCGTTGTGCCGTGTAGCAGACCGGGCCAGTCCTAAAGAGCTTACAATCTAAATAGCCAGGGTACACACAAGGCGGAGGAAGGGGGCTAACACACAAGCAGAGGGAACAAGGACATGGCTTTGATTTGTGTGTGTGTCGTTTGAATTGGAAGGGGATCAGAAGAGCAAAGGGACATGGCGGGGAAGGGGAATGAGAGGAGAAGGGAGAAAGAGGGGCAGGTGTGGAATGAAGCTGAGGGGAACGGATGGTGCGGGAGGGAGAGGATTGGAGCAAAGAGCCAGTCAGCACAGACCAGAGCAAGTTCCGTTCAAACTCGAGAATGTGATCTGAATGGCCAAAGGTCTCTGCCTTGGCTGCTTCTGCAGGTGCTCCGACCGGCTGGAACGTCTGCCTGACCGCTCGCTGCAGTTCTTCCCCACAGCGAGGGCTGAGTGGGAGGGAAGGCACCACCTGGGTCACAGTGGCCTGGGGGGGGGAAGAGGGGTCTCCCCTGTACGGTTCTGGTCTATTATGGCAGTGTTGGGGGGCTGGGTGTCCCGGCAACGCCCCAGAGCAGCAGACCATGCTGTGTCTGTTTCTGCAGTGCTCAGTTGTGGAGGTGGGCGGCTCTACAGAGGATGCGGAGATGGGTCAGATTCATTATTACTACTATGATATTATATATTCAGCCCTACACCGGCACTCGGGCTAGCGCAGGGAGAGGGGAGGCTGCTCGCGCCTTCTCTATGCCTCTGCTGCTGGTGACCACGTTTCAGGGGTGAATTTCTTCCCTAGGATCTGATCCAGAGCCCATGGAAGTCAGTGGAAATATTCTCATTGACCTCCGTGGGCTTTGAATCTGGCCTCTAGCGAGGAACATTACAAGGGATTTGACCTGTGACCTTCTGATACGAACGCAGTAGCACTAAGTTAGAGGAGAAGCTTCCCACGTCGGATGTATTTGCCCTATTCTTGGCCTCCAACAATGACAATCACACGTTTTCCTGGATTCTACCCTCTCCCTGACAGTGGGAACTCCCCTGCTATGGCAGGAATTCCTCGCTCATCCCGGGCTATGTTTCATAGGAAGGTTACCTCCCTAGTGCTGCTTATTCAAATAAAGCCCTTCTGTCGTTTACCCCATCTCCACTGTGCAATAAACCACGTACAAGCAGAGAGTTATAAGCCACGGGGGAGTGGCCTGTGGACAGAGCCGCTGCGGGCATGCCGCTTCATTGGGTAGAGGGGGAGCACAGGAGCACGATGGGAGAAGTTGTTGCCCAGGGAAGAGGATGCACTGAGATCGCATCTCGAATAAAGGCGAGATGAACTCTTGTTCTGCACCCTTGCCTTTGTTTCTGTGGGGCCCTCGCAGCGAGCCAAACCTGGAGCCATTGCTTAAACCAATCAAAATAAAACACATCCCGTCATTTGCTGACGGATCCCCACCTCCCCTGCTCCAGCGCTGGCAGATTGACTCAGCTCTGCCGGCGTGCATTGGAGGAGTCCGAATCCTCCGCTTAGCAATTCTTGGCCTGTTCCATCTGCCTACCAGCAACTTCTTCCCCAAACCCAGCTTAGCAGCCAACCTCTCAGGCTCCTCCCCCTCACCCCCGACACAGGGCACCTTCCCCCCTTTTGGTTTCGTTTTGAATCACCCTGACTCACCGGGGTGACACATTTCAGTTCAATGTATACGGGGTTGGCTTGGCTTGCCGGGGAGTAGAACCGAAAAGAAGAAAGCTAACGCTGCACAAAGTGAGATGCAGAGACACGCCAGGGGGGAGATGGAGCAGGGTCAAAGCCAAGAAAGTTACCAAGGCGAAAAGGAGCGTAGATAGCCGCACAGAGAGTGCTGCACATGAGCTGCAGGGAGGGGACGGAGGAGGCTAAGGCTTCGTCTACCGGTTATATAGCTGTACCCAAATCAAAGTGTCCATGCCGGCGGATACTGGGATCACTGTATCAGTTTAAACTCACCCCTTAGGACAGGTTACACCAAGAAATCTTCCCCACATAGGCAAGGCCTTCTAGTGAGGCCAGG